ATATATATATATATATATATATATATATACATATGCATATATATTGAATATATTTTTTTGTTTTACATAGTAATGTATATATATATATATATATGCACGTTTGGTGGCATATACACGCAAGGTGATATAAAAGAGCAAATAAATATATATATATATATATATATATATATATTATATATATATACTTATATCTATGTGTGTGTGTGCGAATTCAAACATACAGCATATTCATACATGTAAACATGGTAAACATTGAATATACACAAGCTGAACGATGTTGTTGCTGTATTTAATTGCAAACTCCTGTATTTATTTTCTTCTACGCGACTCTGTATATGACTAATGAAATATTTATTCAGGTCTCAGGTGTATGTTCAGGTCTCAGGTGTATGTTGAGGTATTAGAAAAAAGGGTATAAAGAGCAGATTCGAAAGGAAACACTGGAAATAAAGTGATAATTCGAGATGAAAAATAAATTTAACATTAATATTCTATAATTTCAGGTGTACGTACGGCTTCATGCTTTTCAAAAGCGCCATAGAAGGAGGGCTTCCTAAACAGCGATTTTGTACATCCGAACGAAAATGAGGTTTACACCGCAAAAGCATTTCTTTATCTCCGTATTCATAAATACCTTCTGGCCAATCATGGCTCAGCATTATATCCACAGGCTCCTCTATCTGCACGCAAACCCTAAACCCTAAACCCTAAACCCTCATCAAGCGAGTTTCTTACGATTTGCGGAAACTCAAAGGCATGGCGTTCATACAGAACAGAAAAAGGAAAGGCCTTCCTAACCAGCTAAACCCTAAACCCTAAACCCTAAACTCTTCAGCGGCTGTTTCTTTGAAACCCCTTCCACACGATTTGAACAGCCCACGGCTCCTGATAGGGGTTTTAGGGCTTAGGGTTTAGGGTCTTTTGCATAAAGCGTTCAGGTGTATGTACAGTACAGCATAATTATCGTTATTTTCTGTTATTCTCTTCACTTACGCAGTGCAGCTTCAACAATTCAAACTGACGGACATGATACGCACTTCTTGCGGTGTTGCTGTCGTAGGGAGGCCGCTCAAAGTGCCCTAAAACGAAACACCACAAACCCTAAACCCTAAACCCTAAACCCTCGCCACAAACCCTCCAAGCCCTAAACGCTAAAACCCCCCAGGTCTAAAGCCTAAACCCCCGAAGTGGATGCTGCTAACCTCAAACCCTAAACCCTAAACCCTAAACCGCCCAGAAAAGAAAGCCCTAAAGCTTTATAAATCCCAAACCCTAAACCCTAAACCCTAAACCCTAAACCCTAAACCCTTGCCTAGGTTGAAGTGGTGTCTATCATAAATGCCTGAGAGCCCTGCAATTCGAATTCCTCCAACATTAACAACTCCTGAATGCCCTAAATAAAATATATTTGGGGCGAGCCATCCTCCGTAGTACCTGCACATACACTCCAATTCGTATGAGTATCTGTATTTTAGTACATATGTATATATGGGTATATTTCAGGTGTACGTACACCGCAAAAGAGAGAAAAATCAACACAAGTTAAACTTACAACTCTCGTAAAACATTGGGGGCCTCATGATTTCCTCCAATTACCAAAGTCAATACTGGAGCCTTTTTGCTGCCGTTGAAATATTCGTGAAAATCTTTCAGCTGTCTGTACTTGGGCGGCGCACAGAAATACCGCAAATCTTCTTCTGTCCGCAGGCACTAAATATCAACAACAAACAAACAAATAAATAAATAAATAATAAATACTTACTTACAACTAAAATGTAATTTTAAGAATAAAGTAAGCAGGCATACATGCAAAGGAAACACTATCCATAGAATGTCCTGTACCATATATATATATATATATATATA